AGGTTACAATAATCCACACTTTTAATCCAGGTTACACTCTTCCCTCAATGACACATTTTACAAAGTAGCTACATATTGTGCATGTATAAAGATACATTTGTATATAATTTTGTGTACATTTTTTTAAGCTATTTGACTAACTTTTATTTTTTATTATTCAATATTTTACTAACAGAATAGTAAAATAGCAACCTGTTTTTTGTGTGAATTGCTATGTCAGTCAAATGTTCAATTTTGGAATAAAGGGGTGGAAATTAAAACGTTGTGGGTTTTTTTGCCGATTCATCGATTAATCGAAAAAATAATCGGTCGATGAATCGATTATTGAAATAATCGTTAGTTGCAGCCCTAATATATATATACATATACATATATACATATACATATATATATATATACATATATATATATATATATATATATATGTATATGTATATTTTTTTTCCCCTTAAACCCTCATTCTCCGTTTGACATTTAGGGGCGGGGGGTAGGCTGCCTGGTTGTGGTCTGGGCTGTGGGTGGGCGTTGGGCCTTGAGGGGCGATTGGGGAAGGGGCCGATGCTCCGGTTCTCCCTGGGTTGTTTGGATCTTTTGATCAGGGTTTGTGGTTGCGATGGCCGGCCCTTTGGCTGGGGTGGCTGCCAGGTTCCGGCGGGGCGTCAGCTGTGGTTGTGTGTGTGTGGTCGTTGATGGTGTATGACAGGCTCGCCCTGGTGGCTGCCTGCCGAGGCCTGGGTGCCCTGGCTCTGTCGGGCCTCTGTTGGGGGGTGGTATGACCTAGGGGCTCGGTGTCCATGGCCGGATCTATTCTGGAGGGGCGGGTTGCTGGCGGGGCCTGTGGACTCGTCGCTGCAGCCTCCTGGGGTTTCTGCATTGTGATTGCTGGGGATCGCCCAGGGCTTCTCTTTGCTTCTCTCTCTGGGGGGTGTGGCTGTCCCTGGTGGGGGATTCCCGGAGCTCCGGGCTTGGGGACTGCTGTGTGTCTGTGGCTCCGGCCTTCCATGTGTTACCATCGTGTCCTGTGGGGACGGTTTCTGTGGGTCCCTACATCCACTATTGAACATTTTTATGGAGAAACCTTATAGTGACAAGCATGCTCACACAGGTGTTTAGATTCAGGTGTTTATCTGATACACACTCAGTTGGGTTGTTGAGGCCACTAAATACATCTTGTATTACCATGTACTGTATAAAATACTTTCTAATTATGTTATAAGTATCATTATATATGTTGTTTGTTGTCGTGGTTTCTCGTTTTTGTCTCGTTTTTTTTTTTCTCTCTTTCCGCAGGTCTAGAGGCAGACTTCAATGATGTTGATTTGTATTCTCTTTAAACCTCTCTCTCTCCTCTATTCCTATCTCCATCTTCACCTTTTAACCCTTCTCCCACTTTTCTGCTTTGTTTTCTTCTTTGTTTTTCATCCCCATGTCCATTATATCTGAAACAAACCCAAAGCAAATTCTAATAAAATTTAATTTATATATCAAGTGGAGCATTAAGACCAGCCATACTGCTCTGCTTGTGAAAGTAAATCTGTTGGACATCACTTTGACACTCAGACAATAATTCTGTGTCACAACGCCAGACAGGACAAGGGAAGAATTTTTTTTACTTTTTTAAATCAGTGCATATGCGAGTTCAGTGTGGTAATGGCTTTCAGGAAAAAACTGTTCTTGAATCTGTTTGTTCTTGTTCTTATACACCTGTAGCGCTTGTAACAAGTCAAACAGTTCAAAACCTGGGTGTGAACTGTCCTTGATTATGCTTTTTGCTCTGTTGAATCAGTGTGATGTGTAAATATCCATCAGGGAGGGGAGAGGGCAGCCAATTATCTTTTGTGCTGTCTTGACTAGTCTCTGAAGCCTCTCCCCATCAGCCAAGGTGCAGCTACCGTACCATTTCTTTAAATCATTTTTTGCTTTTTCAGCTAATATTTAGCTGTTTTTATGTTAATTTTAGCTTTTTCAGCTAATTCCACATTTTTTTAGCTCATTTCAGCTCTTTCCACTTCCTTTTGTTTAAGCTTCTTTCTGCTTTTTCAGCTACTTTTCTGCTTTTTTGCAAATTTCAGCTTTTTAAAAATTTCCTAATTTCCTCATTTTGTGCTCATTTCTGCTTATTCAAACCTAATTCAGCAAATATGTATTCTTTCTATTTTCTTCTGCTAATTTAGGCTTGTTCTTCCATTTCAGCTACATTTCAGCATGTTTTTTTATAACTAATTTAGGCCGTTTTTCATCAAGTTCTTCTGAAATAAGCATTCACACTGCATTTTTGCAGGAAATGCAATTTCTTTAGTTTTAATAGCATGCTGAATTCATTACTAGTTGAAAGTTAGAGTTTAACTCAGGAAATGACACTTTTGTGTCTAATCTGGAGAAAAACCTCCTGCCCCGTTTCCAAGTTATTATTATAACAGTTTGTACATTTGTACCTTTATACTGGCTTCATCCTCTTTCTTTTGAAGCTCAGGTTTTTCAGGAACTTCTGGATTTTCATCCTTGAGCTTCTGAATTTTCTTGTCTTTATTCCTTTCATTTGTCAACTTCTGCTTACAGTTTTCCTCAGCGACCGATGTAGAAGATCCGCAGGAATTATTTAAATTTAAACCCTGTGAATAATAAGGTGCTCATAGCTTTACAGACTGAATCAATTTTGATGAATGTTCATTAGAAGAAAAGATGGCTGTCAGCAGCAAACTGGTTGATCCACTATGAGAAGGTGTTATTTATAACACTGAGCTGAATACAGCACCTCAGACTGAAGAAGTCATTCGGATGAAAGACAAACAGTTTCTACAGTTTTTTTTTCTTGAATGTCTAGAGGACCAGATTTAACTTTTTTTAGAGAAGAAAAATATTGTTTTATCTACAAACCTTTTGGTGATCTTCATCTTTCTTGTTCACACCGATCAGATCTTTTTTTTGTGTGTTCTTGGGCTTCTTGCATCCGGCCGCCTCAGATGCAGTTTGTACCTGATTGGATTTAGAATATTTGTTTTCTTTGGAATTACTAACATTTTTTGAGCTTTGGTCTTGATTCTTGGAGGAGTCAGACTTGTCTTTCTCCACCTCCTGAAATGATAAAACAAAAAAAAGTCATCAAAACTTAAAAAAATTCCTTTCTGCTAAAGGAAATCAGTTCGACTCACAGGTAAATTTTCTTTGGGTGCATTTTCCTTTTGAAGTTGTTTCTTTTCTTTTTTACGCTGCAACAACATAAGAACAAATTAAATGCACTATTAGCGACTGCTAAAGTGGAACCCATCAGAATTCACACAATTTCTGCTGTGTATTAACCTGTTTTTTACGCTTGTTTCTCTCAGTTTTGCTCTTTTGTCGTTCTTCTTCTTCTATAAGTTCCTTGGCAATTTTATCGGCTTCCTACAAAGAACAACATTAGAACCAAATCTGCAAAAATACACAAGCAAGTTTGCTAAACATTGTAAAACATTGTATCCTAAAACATCCGTACATCCATATGTCCACAGTGTTTCCCCTACCATTATACAAGCGGGGCGCACCACCCTGTCAACAGAGCCGAGCGCCCCGTCTACACAAATACCCAACCATAACTCCACCCACTCTGTCATGTGACCAGAAGTCTAACCTGAATGACCAACAAAGTACTCTCAAGGACCATCCCCCAAGATAGACGTGAATTAATTTCTTTAGATAGTTCCCGGGTTGTTACGGGATTTTGCACTTCATGCACAGACCTGTTCATTTGTTTAGCGATAATGGAAAACACATGGAGAATATCTTATGACGCAACTTTCATGTTAAAAGCAATCGGCTGTTATGGAGGAAACACAGCTGCATGTAAGCTGCATCACCGTTTGTCGAATGTCAGGATTGGAGATGCAAAAGCAGTCAAGTCTAGTACATGTTTTAATAAAAGTTTTAAAATCCTTTCTGTGCAACATCTTTCTTTGGTGGTAAATATGCATTTACTGTAATTTCTGGACTATTGAGCACACCCAAATATAAGCTGCACCCACTACATTTAAAAAATAATAATTTTGTACATGGGCGGCTGTGGCTGAGTGGTTAGAGCAGTCGTCCTTCAATGCGAGAGTTGGGGGTTCGAATCCACCAGCAATCACATGCTGAAGTGTCCCTGGGCAAGACACTGAACCCCTCATAGCCTCTGATGTGTGTCCCATCAGTGTATGAATGTGATCTAAAGCACTGATTAGTCTCATTAGAATAATTTGTTCAATTAGCTTTGTAGAGATCTAGTAGAGTGCTGTATGAATTGGTAAATGAGGACACAAATTGTAGTGTAAAGCACTTTGAGTATCTTGAAATAAGATAGAAAGGCGCTATACAAGTACAGTCCATTTACCATTTACATGTATAGGCTGCACTTGTATATAAGTTGTGGGTGTCCATGTTGTAACGAGAGACATTTACACTGTACACAGAAAGATTTTTTTTAATTTTTGATTAAATACGTATCGTAACATACATAAATACGTACAGAAAATGTTTTTGGTTTTTTTCTGAACAGTGCCGGTAACACGGCTGGTAAAAAAAAAATACAGTAGCCTACCATTGATTGTCATCGTAATTTTCCTCCTGCAGAGGATTTTTTTTTTAACTGCTCCTCTGTCAGCATCCACTGGAGCAAAAGTTGCTCTTTGCATGCCGCCAGTCTTTGTAAACAATTTCTTGCCACCAGTCATTACAGCCTCCCACCAAACTTGGAGTGTCACTTTAAGACACAATTCACACTAATATCGAGTGGCTGCAAACAATTTGTTGTGCCCTCAGGGAGGGGCACAAGTTCCCCTTCCTTGTTCTGTCCTCCAGTCCTTGTTTCATTGGTCCACTGTGACCTGTTTGGCAATTTCATAGGTCAGATTATTTTTTTTTTACCTTTATTTGTATGAAGACCCCCCCCCCCACACACACACACACACACACACACACACACACACCCCAGGAGAGATGTGTATTGGGCAGCTACGTGAGTGTGGGTTGTGACGAGGCTAAATGTTTTGGTTGCAGGAAGCTCATTAGCCTGTCAAAAAACAAAAATCCATAAATTAGCTGCAGCATTGTATGAACCATGGAGTTGAAAGCCTATGAAAAACGTAGCGGCTTATAGTCCTGAAATTATGGTAAATACAGGGATCTTATTTTAAAGTCACATCTTAACGCATGAAACAGAGCATAGGAGACAACAAACCGGAGGGGTTCTCCCCCCCCCCCTCCCCTTCTGTAATGAACTGACAGTTGAAGAAGTGAATTCAGATTTATTTTTAAAACAGTCAGTTAATCAAAACTGATACATATTTAAATAAAAGTTTTATTTTTTTTGTGTATGGTAAATATGTGTTTAAATAATAATATGTCATTTAGGCTCCGCATATAACCCAGGGAACAAAAGGAAGGAGGGGGCTGTTCCCCTTTCTAGCGATAAGCGAGAGGTTGGTGAGAGCCTGCGACCTGGAAATGCCCGAACTGGTGGCCCCGACCACGTCGACCCTTTTGGCAGGAAGGTTTGCCATCCAGCACATTGGACACCGGGACCCAGTCTGGCCCTGTTTCCCGGCTGTGTCCGCCCTCCTCCTGGGTTCAGCCAACAATCCCTTAAAGCTGAGGGCTCCGGTCGCCTCCTACACGGCCATCACCAAAGTCAAAGGGCTCACTGACCAGGGCTTTCCCACGTTCCTCCTCTAGAACCCAGTTTGCCGGCTGTTTTCGGGGTAAGAGCAGCGAAATACGTCGGCTGACCTATCACCCCGCCATCCTCCGGTGACCAGCTCACTGCGAAGCTGACTGACAGAATCCATCAGTGCTTGTCGCAGGTGGGGGCAGCAACAGACAACATCGCTATGCTAGCCCTTAGCATAGCTAAGGAGGCGAAGGAACCAAACCCGTTTTCTGCAGATCTGGACCAGATCGGCACGGCTGCGGATACAATCACCAACCTGTGTGCGGCGCTTGTAGCGTGCTTCGCCCGCATCTTGTCTGGGGTAATGTTGCTGCAGAGACAGATGTTGAAACTGTCCCTGTCCATCCCAGAGGACGTTAAAAAAGAACTCGTGGAAGGTCCTATGACCCCAGATGGCCTCTTCGGTCCTCATTTTCAGTTGGTCCTGAACCAGCTGCAGTCCTCATCTGACGCCCTGGGACAGGGGTTCTGAACAAGGCTCGGCCCAGATGAACTGCAGGAGGATGTCGAAGAGAGATGTTGATGAACTATTTGTTTAAGGGTGCATTCACACCAGCCCTGTTTAGTCCGCTTTAATCGAACTCTAGCTCGTTTTCCTAGAAAGTCCGGTTTGTTTAGGGAGGTGTGAACGCGGCATCAAACTCTGTCACGGAACAAAAAGACGAACTCTGGCCCGGGCTAAAACCTAGGTCTCGGTCCGGTAGAAGCGAACTCCAGCGCGGTTCGAGTGCAGTGTGAATGTAAACAGACCGAGACCCGCTGCGCAGGGTAAACAAACACGCATTTCTCTTACCTTATATGGAGCCGTAAGCTGCCTTGTGTGAAAAACAATATTCTCCATGGTCTTCTGTCTCATCTTCTGCTCATGCTAAGTCCATTTTTGAAAAATGACAAAATATAACTCCTAAAACTGCTAAAACTTGATGGCACTTCGTTTTTATTTTTATTTATTTTCTGACTGGCTCCAGGCAGAAGGAGAAATCCCACACAAGACAGGCTCTAGAGCAATGTGGATATCCTAACTGGGCCTTCCTGAAAGCAGAGAAGAAATCCAAACAGGACTCCAGTCAGCCAACAGGTGAAAAGGAGGAACCCAGACCCAGACCAGTGGTCATTCCATATGTTGAGGGAGTATCAGAGAAACTGAGACGTTTATTTTCTAAACATAACGTCCCAGTGGCTTTTAAACCCCAAAAATACATTACGGCAAATACTGGTTCATCCCAAAGATCCAGTCCCCCGGCACAAACAGAGCAATGTTGTGTATGCTGTTCAGTGTCAGGAGGGCTGTGATCAGTCTTACATCGGGGAAACAAAACAGCCACTGGCCAAAAGGATGGCCCAGCACAGAAGATCAACATCATCAGGCCAGGACTCTGCGGTCTACACTCATCTCCAGGCCAGCAGTCACTCTTTCAGGGATGAAGATGTTCACATCCTGGACAGAGAGGAACGATGGTTTGAGAGAAGAGTAAAGGAGGCCATCTTTGTGAAAATAAATCGTCCATCATTAAACAGGGGTGGAGGCCTACGTGTTCAACTGTCCCCCTCTTACAATGCTGTGATTGCTAGTATCACTCAGCCCTCTGTGAACAGTAAACAGCCATCAGTGTGCTAATGATCCATTGTTAGGCTGATGGTCCTTTTTGAGCATGTGATCAGCTGGTTTTGGTTGTCAGCAGCAAAACTGGTTGATCCACTCTGAGACGGTGCTATTTAAGAGACTGAGCTGAATACAGCACCTCAGACTGAGGAAGTCTCTCGGATGAGAGACGAAACGTTTCTACATTTTTTTGTTGATTTGCTTCGTTTTGTTTTTTTGAATGTCCAGAGGACCAGATTTAACTTTTTTAGATTTTTCTACCTGGATTATTGAGCATGCATCAGGATATTGTGGCTCTTCCAACACAAATGTCTGTTACAGTACCTGGAATCTGACGTAGATTAACTATGAGAGTAAAAATATATTCCATCAGTCTTAGTTCAGAAAGCAGTGTGTCCGCCGCCATGTTGATAGAAATATAGCATCTGTCCGTGCGTGAGTGTGCGCATGTGGTTTAACACAAAGCCTCAGTGGGGGATGTTTACATTATCAGCGGGCGGTCAGCGAAAAACCTCCACTCTGGAAGGTGGGTTCAGAAACCTCCAGATTCAAAGAGGGGGGTCACTGGTGTCGTGTAAATCATCAGCAGAACCGCAGAGAGAAAGCTGCGGATATACTCAAAATACGCGCCGTGTAAACGGCCCCTAACGCTGAGAGGAGGAGGAGGGGGGAGACTGCTTCTTGTCTTTTTGCAGAGAAACACGGAGCAACTTTCTGCTCATAAATTGAAGCCTTTTGACAACACGCACTGCACACATGAATGCCGTCTGTGGGCATCACCAGCACCATAGACATACATTATACATAGATTAGGTGCGGCAACTCTATACAGCTCTGGGTGTAAACTCGTAGTCTGTTTCGTCATATGTCTGCGTTGTACCTGCCTGCGTGCTGAAACCACGTGACACCTTGCAGCCAATACCGAAACTTGACACCGAAAAAAGAGTGACGTTTCAATACATACACCGACCGGTGCAGTTCGGTAGGTGCCATAAAAGAACCTTGGTTCGGTACTCAGCCCTATCCACAACCGTTGCAACTTTTTCTGTGGGCCCCCCACCAGCCTTCCCCAGAGGACAAATGGCCCAGATGCAACAA